CCCCAAAACCCCAAAACCCCAAAACCCCACCATGTTGATATAAAAGCATCGAAAGTATTTATTAATTATTTAGCTTATTCAAACGTCAAAATACAGATTGAACAATTCATTATAAATTACTGACATTTTAATTATATATAAACTAGAATCGTCATTTTAAGGAAGTAATCATTTCAGTACCACATCTATAAAATGTTCTTAGTTAGAATATGTTTTTAAATTCGTAGATGAAAACTCCATATTCATTTGATAAAACATAGGTATCTCCTATCACTTATATATCTTGATAATTATGATTTGATTTGCATTTTTCTAAGATCTTGGGCTAACTTCCTTTTAAATATAAAGTATCACACAAATCACTTAAAATCCATTGATGATTTTACTCTTCTTCAAAAAATTTAACTTAATTATACAAAGCCATTTACTTTTTATCGTTCAATTTAAATTCCTATCCAAATAGAATAAAATGCTGATCTTTAAGATGTATTACTGAGTCAATTTAGAAAATTTGGGAATCATGTTTGAATTAAAGCATTTCAAAAGATTTATTAGGATTATTTAAGTTCTGTTTCTCATAAGTAAATTCATTATTTGACTTTACCTCTTCTGGTTTTGTTATTATCTTTTTAATTCCTCCAAATACATATAGCAAGTTATTTTTAACACCAGTTACTGCTGTGCCACAATCCAGTCTTTATTTATTAAGTTTTCCAAATCTATTGTCATCTTTAAACTCATTTCGCATTGTATCAAAATATGTAACTTTCAAATGCATTGAATTTTAGCTTTAATTTAGAGTTTTGTGCAATTTAGATTGAGATTTCTAATCAAATACTTGATATCCTCCAATTATAAGAATAAATCTATTTAAACCTTATGTATAGGAGGCTTGCTAAATGGTAAAACCCTTTTGCTCGTGGAGCAGTAAAACTTATTTTTCGTAAAGCTTATAAATAATCATAGATTTAGAAGTCTATCCAATGAAGAAAAATTAATTATTATCTAGCTTCACTATGTTTTGAAACTTGAAATGCAAGGGGACCTTGAGCTTCGTTTTTTCCCAATTACAGAAAATATCTTAACGGCTTTTGTAATCAATAATATCTTTGACTTTCATGTGATACATTGTATTAAATGATATATTTGTGTTAAATCTTATTATATGCTTTTCGTCATCAGGAATATGTTGTCTCTTTCGTTCAGAATAATCAAGTAAAACAGAATAAAACTAATTTGGGACAACTCTATTGTAAAATTCTCAACATAAGATTTGCATCTCAAAGACTTGAAGAAAAGGTAAAAATTCTAAAACTATATGTATAGTTTGAGAATGTAATGCTTATTTTTATTTTAAATCCATTTTAAGTTAAATTATATCTTTTAATTTTTGCATTATTCTTATAAATATACATGTATGGGGTTTTGGGGTTTTGGGG